CGGGTTGGGGTGGGAGGGGTTTGTGTGTAAACCCCGGGAGGGTGGGGGGGGTTTCTCCCCCGCGGGCCCCCTTTGGGGGGGGGGGTGGCCAGGACTTTTTTTTTTTTTGCCTTGGTCGGGCAGAAAGGTTTTTTTTATTTTTCCCCGAAAGTAACCAAAAAGGGTCCCAACTACCGGGGAAGCTTTCCTCCCCTGGAAAGGGGGGGGGGGGGGGGGGGGGCGTTCTTCCGCCGCCGCCGTCGGATTGGTGGTCTCCACGCGCAAAAGCTACAATCCCACTCCACCAGCAACACTGATTCATGCGCGAACGACCGAGAAAAATCCCGACCGAAAAAAAAGCACACGCGGCTGGCACGCCGCATTGATTGGTTGTCCGCGGCACCACATAAATCTCCGGAGATCCGCTGCACCGCAGCACAGTAGTACCTGTGCGTCGAGAAACTGTTCCGAAACTTCTTCGTCCTCCGGGCGGTAGATGACGGCGTCTGACCCGACCATGTCTCCGTCCGGCGAGAAGCCTACCGCCGTCCATTGCTCGGCCTCGGCCTCCACCTGTGTTTGCCGATGACCACGGCCGTCGTACCGTGGGGGTGGGGGTGGGAGGTGGCCGGCAAGGGCGAAGCAGGGTGTTGTTTTTTTAAAGCTTTGCGAGAGCTGCTGGTGATGGACTGGTGGTGTGGTGGGTGTCTTGTTTCTTTTGCGATGAGAAGTCCCGCCTTGATGGTGATATTTTTTGCTCTTTTTTGTACTCCGGTTAGCCTTCCGGTGACTTCAATTAGAGCAGCTAGAAACGAGAGGCGACAGACTGTCGAGGTTTCATATAATATTGTACGGGAGTTGTTCTGTGCCCAAGAAATCGAGCACGTTCGCGTAACGATTCGGTAAAAATATTTGTTTTGTGCCCAAAAAAAATAGGAAACGTATGTGCCAAGGGCATCGATGCTTCCTGCGAGCGCTCGCCAGTCCAAACGACAAAAGGCGTCGGCGTGTGAGGCACCCTTTGCGGGAGGAACACCTAAACCTTCACGGCCTTTTACGTTTGAAGATGAGATGGAAACGAAAACGAAAATAACTCAATCGGGAAAGTAAAACTGCAATACGCGCAGACAGCCGTAAGTCATGGTTATTTCAAACAAAGAAAATTACACCAGAAGAGAGCGGTAGATAGCGATGCGGTTGTTCGTAGGGTCCCCATAGTTCTGAGGACGGCGGTGTGTGCACGGACAAAATGCTCTCTGATCGGTGATTTGTGGTATGCTCTTGTCGAACTCAGGGAGGGTATCAACCTTTCCCTTTTCAGTGATGCAAGCAAGACCGGTATCGGAGGAGGGTTGAATGACAACAGGTTCTCCTATAAACACATGCATACACACACATACATCCATGTTCTATTTTCAGTGCAGCAGGATTTCTGTCTATGTGTTGATTTGGCCCTCGTGGGATGTTATTTGCCTGTGACCACGGACGGCGTCCGCGTAGGTTGCACCGGACAGGCGCTGAGCGGGAAGTGGGCAGAAACCAAACGGCATCGTCCCGACGACGGCAACAACAAACAACAGAAGAGCTGTCTCCTGCGCTGCAGGCAAGGCAACAAGTTATCCTCTTCTTGACAGGGCTCTCTCTACCTATTGGCTCACCATGAAGGAGACTGTGTCCGTGTCGTGTGTCCAGTAGATGACGAATCCGTGGGTTGGAGAGTGCTGATCAGCAATACATGTTGTGGCAACAAGGCAAAAAAGGGCATCGCAAAAAAATGGGCGGCGTATGTTGCGCAACAAGATTGGACGGGGGCTGGGGCACAGGAACAGCGTCAAAAACAATTTGCTGTATGTACCGCATCTTTCTTTTGTTTTTCAGGACGAAAAACCAGTAGACACACCGCATGCACATATGTATCTCCTCATCCAAATCGGAAAACTCACCGAGTGCTTGCCCCCAAGAAAACATAAGTTCCTGTTTGTGCCCCGTTGCTGCCATGTTTTGGCAAGGATCTTGTGATATACCGCAAAACCGCCAAGGTTGTCCACCAATTTCTGAAGTAGCCCCGGTCAACGATCTAATACATATATCGATAGCGGGGGGGGGAACTCAAAACCTCTTCTCCCGCTGGCTCTATATTCATACTTTATTCCCATATACGAAACGAATGCAACCTTCCCGCCGTTTCTAACTGCACCTTGGTAGTGTTATCAGCACAGGACACCATGAAAAAAGTGTCGTATGTGCTGGCACGTGGAGGTTTGCCTGTTGGGTGGAGATATCGACGGTCGATCGTAGCAATGGCCTAGTCTCCCAGAGTTTGAACGACCCCAGTGTATTCTGCTTGTGCTCACCACCACGGACCGTAAGCCCCTGAGTCATCAGCAGAAGCTATATAATACAATAGTGACATCAGTTACTGGTGTCAACCCGCAGTTTAGGAGATTGGAGTAAGGGGCGGCGAGCACAGAAGTACAAGACACTGGGTGTCGGTATTATTTGCGGAGATTGTTGGCCATTACTCTGTACGGTTCTCGATGTTACCACCACAGAAGCAGTTTTGAGCGCGCCAACACACCCTCCCCGCTGTTGTAGGGTGCCTGCTAGTGGCATCAGTACTAAGGTGCAGTCAGAATGCTAAACTGACCTTATTTGCGCCTGCCGTTTTGGCTCGTTTGACTTGAATTTAGACTAGTGTTAATTTTGTCTCGATTTCTAAGGGGTCGTGTAGAGGTAGACTAATGACATGTACCTTTATGTTTAGAGCAAGCAGCCTCTACTGCCGCCGAGTGCGAGAATCAACGATTTCTATTAATAGTCCCGATGCCTTCCGGCGACTGGTTTTGTGTGTCTCGTGCGTGCATTTTCTGGTGCTCTTGCGGTCTCTTTCAAAATCAATCGGCATCAATAATAGCTTGGGTTCCATCCCTGAATCATTTCCACAACGTGCAAATCAACAAAGGAAGACCATCGTGACCCTACATCTCACTGTTATTCCGTGCTCTCAAGGGAACATGTGTATCGCCAGTTCACACCAAGTGCCTGCCGACGGGTGAAGCCGGAGGATCGATCCGTGATCGCCACGTTCTACTGTGAAACGAAACAAGTGATGGGCGCCCGGTGATGTGGGCTGCTACATCGCTTCACACTTAAAACGGTGGCCACTTCCGGTTGTATTCCAGCAAAGGCCGGTTCTCGCTGGTTCATCACCCCAACCCGCCGTTCGCGCCGGCATGCACATGGAAATTAATGTCAGACACAACAAAAGAATTAATACCACCACTTAAACGGCAATCGGTTGCAACAACTCTGTTCCGGGGACTAAATAGATCACCCTTCTTTACACGACACTCCGGGGTATGGCCTGCCCTGCTAAGCTAGCAGACCTCTTGTTGGGACACACGACTGTTTCGCCTGAATACACTGTACCCGCCACGGCATGGGTTGGCAACAATATGTAGTGACGGATGCGGGTGTGTGCGTTGCAGGGACCGATTTTGGAGAACGGCACAGACAGGAAAAACGAAAAAAAAATTATCCGCAAGAGCCCGACCACCCGCGCGGGCACACGTTCATGTCCCACCACGCGAGCCGCTTCTCTCCCTGCTGTGTCTGAAACGTGGTGTAGCTTGCGGCACCAAACAGCTGGCCGATTGCACCCCACTCCCTGTACACACCTACCCTTCTTTCGCGTCTTGTGCTTTGTACTGCGCGTATCCAACTCAGGGTGACCCTGCTATTTCCCAATCCCGTTTAACAATTCGGCTGTTCATGTACACATGTGCATGTTGCGGGAACTGGTGTGATACAGCCACTACATGTTTTAGTCATGCGGCTTACCATGAACTCGTACTCATCGAGGTCGCTGACTTCGCAATTCGATCCCGACTGTGCTGCAGTAGACACTGCGAGAGCAGCCAAGACGACCAGGCCGAGCGGGCGGATCGCGGTAGACACCATGGCCATCATTGCCCTGCTGTGGTGTGGTGTGGCGGCAGCACGCTGTGATCCCGTCCTCTCGGTTCGATTGACTTCACAGCTGTCCGCAGGAGGGATTCAAATCCGATTGCCAAGAGAGGATCCAGATGCGGGCTTGGAGCTCGAGCGTATCGAAGCACGTCGATGGGTGATTGGCGTGCGTGGCGGGGCTGTGTTCTTGGCGTGGAGAGAGACGGGTTGTGTGAGAGAGAGGGAGAGGAATCCGATGTGAATGGCCATCAGCGGGCATGATGCTGAGAGGAAAAGAGAGGAAAATTATGGATACCAGTGCCGGCGTACCTGGCATCAGCGAACCAACACGCCTCCCGGGGATACAGCAGTATTGTAGTGTGGCTTCATGTTTTGTGGTAGGAGCAGCAGCAGCTCTCGTAATCTCGTAGTGGAGATTTTGCTGTCTCCGATCCTATCCCCAATCTCCAACCCAAACAATGTGCCCACAGACAACACCACGATCGAGCTAGCAACGACGGGTGGGGCGCGTAACCTTGATCAGGGTGTGTTGCGTCTGCATGCCGGGCCAAGAACCAAAGACCTGATCCCCGGGGTGGCTTCCAGAACTTTCCCCGCCGACAATCTCCGGAGATTTTTTGTCCGTCATCTCATCATCTCATCTTTGCGGCGGCCGGGGTCTCCTCGCACACGCACACAATTCCTTTCATCACATCACGTCCCTCCGGCAGTTGTACCACTGCAGCAGAAGATCGTCAAGATGATTTCCTCGTCGCTGAAGGCAGCTGCACTGGCTCTCTTGGCAGGGGCACACGTGGGCGTGTCTCAGTTCACCGACTCGTGCGACGCGTCCGCCGTGGATGGGTACGATTTCGAGGTATGTGCGCTGCGTGCGCATGTTCCCAGAGAGAAAGAGAGTTGTCACGTATTTTACATGATGATACGGTTCAAAATACGTATGTGTGTAGTACCAGCTATCGACGCGCGGGACGCGCGTAGGATGGGTCCGGTTGACGTTGTGTGTGCACGAACTAGTCAACAAATGTATGGCGAGAAAAGGGGCTGTGACGGTGAAAGGCTGTGGACAGACCGGCGGTGCATTTCCCGCGTGAGCTCTACTGTGATGGCCGGAAGGGATTCGAAGCTCCCCGACTTTTTTTTGTTCCTTCGTGTGTTGTACGGTGTGCACGTGTGCCTGCCACCACGCCATCTTGCGACTGCTGCTACGCCCTGCTAAGAGGGATAAGAGGCGTGAGCATGCCATGCTGTCGCTGACCCTTCTTGTTTCCCCCAAGCCACGTACATGTCATGTACAGACAGACGTTTGTGCATCTTCCGTATTATCCATGTGGTGCGTATTTGTCGTCCCCCGAGCCGTTCGATCTCGGAACTCTCCGCCGAAAACGGAAAACACAACAAACACGGCTGCCCCCCTTCCTACACCTTCCGCCTGCACCAACTTGTGCTGTCGTGGGCAGGTCATGCCAGAGGATGGCTATGAGATCCGCTGGACGTTGAACAACGACACCAAGATGATAGCGATCCAGGTAAGATATCATCATGGATCCTCATAGCTGTATTGTAGAGAAGCGGTTAAGGCGGAGGTGACGTACTGGGATCTACAACATGAACGGCGGCGGGAAGCGCATGTGGTAACGAGGTTACCGTTGGCTCTTTCTCCAACTCTGGGCCCTCGCTCCGCCTCTGTGCCCCACACACGAACTACTTTCTTCCTATCACTCGCTGCCGAGTCCACCCTCCACGATGGTGGCGACTATATATGCTAGTAAAGCGCGGAGACGAAAGGAGCACACAAATTGTTTTCGTGCCCCCCCGTATCTTTTGCGGGGGGAAAAAAATGCCACACCGCCAGCGGAGTTTGTTGAGCGGCTTGGTTCAGCTCCGACGCTCTTCACCAGGTTATGGGTTGAATGTCTCCGGGTGATCGATGTACGTGTGTGTTGGTGTGTTGGTTCCCATCTATTTATGTATGGATCCCAAGTCTATACTGCTGTAGTCAAGCTTACTCGAATGCCCCGCTACGCAGCATGGCACCGCACACAACACAACCGCGGTATTGGTCTTTTTCTTCCACACAACGATGTCGGTGGTACCTGACTGGAAGTAAGTACTTCGAAGTAGTTTGTTCAGGTAGGTGTGGTACGTGGTGACACTCCATATTGTTCGTGGAAGTATACACAGCAGCAATAGGACGAAGGGGTAGTGGTGTGTGGTGATTCTGTGTTAGATTCACATGTGTGTGTGAGTGTACACAACAGCAGCAGTAAGCCAACGGGGACTGCCGCTGCTGAACTCCCGCGTTTTTTGCCGAACATCGAAGGCAAGCAACGGAGGGGGCAGCGAGGTGGGAGCAACAAAAAAATATCCCTTTCCTTGTGTTGCAGTGCTGCTCCGGTGTGTAGTTCTTAGAAAGTACACATGAAATTGAAGCCGTCTCCGCCCAGTACCTTGCACACAGCAGTATGTCCGTGGTCCAACTGACGAGGAAACATGCATACTTCTATAAATACAGCAATAATGATACAGAGTAAGAGAGTGTGCTCTCTGTTGAGAGTTGAGACACCATCCACCCGCCCTAGAAGGTATTTTCGCCCAGTTGTTCTCCGACCTCCGACCACATGAGCGTGAAATAATTATTATTCATATGGAAATGAGTGTCGCTCGTCGTACGAACGGATTGAGGGCACACGCATTATTTCCCTTCCTACTGCAGTATTCTCGAGAAGTGGCAACACTGACCTTTGTGGGAGGTGATGCCACTGCTGTTTGATCCCATAGACTCAGTAGTCTACGCAGCGAAATTGATTCACCCGTTTGAGTCTTCAGGCGTTCTCGCTGATCATTGATTGATCATTTGCAAATGCTGGTGTAGTGGCAATTCGTGGAGTTGCCGCCCTGCAACCCTTCGCGCCGTGTAGTGGCAAGTCCATAGGTAGGTGTGTCTAGATTATTTGCACCCGCGTAACCGGCTGACCAATGAAGAGACGTCAGTGACAGCGGGTACCGTATATGACACAAGATAACACACCCCCTGGACCGATTTTCAAAGCTCGATTACTCCACGACGAAGAGGATGCATAAATGAAACAATACGTTTTCGAACAGCTCTCGACGAGACGGTTCCAACGCCGCCGTTTTCGGCGCTGTGACTCTTCCTGCTGTTGAGAAATCGAGCTTTGAAAAATCGGCCAAGGGGGTGTGTTATCTTGTGTCATATACGGTAATATCAAGGTCTCGGGAATGGGGCCAATCAATGCCAAATCGTGAATCTGTCAACGTTTATGTACATGAACGCGTGTGTGCATACATACATACATACATACATACATACATACACATGCGTTCTTTCGCAGCACCACACATACACTCGCCCGAACGTAGGAAGCCACTGCTGCAAAGAGCCGAGGGCAAAAGGGAGGGGTATTGCAAACCCTGCCAAAGCCCAGATATCGAGGATATCGTGGTTCCCAACAATTTGGAAATCGTTCCCAAGATCCAGCAGTCATTATGTCAGCAGCTACAACGAACGCTACAACACTACTACTGTAGACGAGTAAAACATATCAGCACCACGTCCACACTCGTAGCGCCACACATACCCTCGCCCGAACCTAGGAAACCACGAGGTACAGGTGTGTGCTGGTGGATGTGCTTGTTTGAAAAACACAGGAGCTCTAGAGAGCTGGCAGGGCACATTTCGGGAGCCAGAGAACAGAGAAGCACTGAAGTACAAATACCAGCTATGGGTCTTCACTGATCATTTTGCCCTCTCTGGACTGATCATTTCCAACCTACCGAAAATAGACTAGTTTTGAGGCAGCTAGACGATCATTTCAAAGTCTACACAGCTAACCTGCCCTACTGACCGCAGCGCGACCACCCATCAACCCTTCTACAACCCTGTCTGTGGCCACCACCCTGTCGCCGGCTTCCCTCATTGCCTACAGGTGGAGATACCTGTTGCGTGTGCAGAAGTACACTGGTGTCTTTCTCTGCACTTCTCTCTCTCCCGCTCGCTCTCGCTCTCATGTTTTTTTTTTTTGGCGCAAAAAAAGAAACTGACATTCCAGCCTAGACGCAAACATAGTCTGTGGGACCTGGTATCTGTGAAGAACTGACGTGAAAATAAAACAACTAAGTGAATGAGTGTTGCTATAATATGGAAAGGCGAGAATTTCTACGACGATGGTGATCCGTGGTGTTATCATGCTACTATTGTATGACTGCTGCTACTGTGTTCTACAAAATTCTTCAAATTGTTCTACTTACGAGGGTCGCCATCTGGTCGGGCTTTTTTTTCGTGCGGCACTGGTGCTGTGCGTCCCTCTTTACCCAACCAGGTCGTTTTTTTCTATCCGATTCCCCAGCTTCCAGCTTCCCCACCCCTTTCAGCATACTTCGAAGCATATATTTGACCCTCGACTGCCGAAAGTTCCAAGGCTCTCGTAAAACCGCTGTTAGCTGGTTCATTGCAATCAATTCATCATGGTACGTCCGTAGTACCGCCGTTACTGCTGTTACCGAAACCGTCACCAGTCACACAAGCACAGCAGCAAGTCCTCCCGCTTCCATACCAATGGTTCCCATGGCCGTAGAAAATATTCTCCCATTTCCGTCACACACGACTTTCTGACAAAATCAGTTACTCTGTAAATTATAAGTAAACACAAATACACACGCATAAAGTATACTGTTTTCTCTGAAGTTTCTCGTCAGCCCTCAAGCAACATGTGCAAAATATGATGTGCCATTACGAAAAACAAAACCCAAGACTACGACAGGCTCTGTTGTGCACAAAGTCCTTGTGTGTCGAAATAGCTAAGTAGTGGCTATGTCTCTCCGCCCCCCCTCGTTTCGGTTCTCTTTCCTATTGCACCAATTCACGTTGGAGAGGACTACGCCTGCGAGAGCGGTGGACGCCCCTTTTTTACCTTCGAACCTTTATATCCAGGAGGTCATTTAGCGTCCAAAGAGAACTTTCTGCAGCCCAATGCATCCAGCTGAAACTGCCCCCCCACCACCCGCGCTCATGTGCTGTTCACTCTGCGTTTCTCCAGATGGTCACATCGTCGGTGGCTTGGGCTGGCATCGGGTTCCCTTCCGTAGATCTGGACCTGGTTGGATCCGACGTCATCATCGGGCTCCCGGACAACTCTTCCGTGTTGGAGTACGAGGTCTTGGGAGAGGTAATAAACAAATCGAACAACCCCTCCCGGAAACCAGTACCGAAGTCTACTCTACGGCTCTTCTAACGCAAGCAAACATACTGGATGAACTACTACCATCGACTAAGCTAAGTTAGGATCTGCGTGCGGCGTGCCTGGTCTTATTCGTACATAGTAACATAGCTTTGCTCTCTTTGCGTAGGGAGCCCACATGTGCGTATGTTGCTCTACATTTTGATCGTCTTGTCCAGTGTGTGCAGTATTTTTATGTTTCTTCCGAGCCACATCCTCGCGCATCCATGCGGCAACGTGATTGTTTGGACTACGACCCACATTATCACACGATTCTTTAGTGCCACAACCCGTGTTCTTGGCTGGAAATTCTTCTGTGTGTTGGAAAGATTTGAGGGACCAATAGCTGTTTCGGCATCGCACCGTCGACTGTCAGGCTACATTTGTCCCAGAAAAACGGCTCCTGAGAAGAACGGCTCCTGAGGTTACCGTGGAAATACTGTACCCCTCCCACTTCGCGTAACCTTCTCCCGTCTGCCCCCCCCCCCCGCCTCCTATTCGCCGGACCCCCTGTCATTTCGTTTCTTCGCACGGGATGGCTGGCAACTGTCGTCACCACGAAAAAAACCATCAGACGGCGGAAGAGGTGGTGGTGTTCGAGCAGCAAGACATCACGGAAGCCTCGATCGTTCAGGCCGACGGCAGCACTACCCTCTCCTTCATCCGACCCCTGTCCCCGGGGGGCAACAAGCAGAACATCTCGTACGTAGCGGGCGACGCGACCAAGCTAATCTTCGGCCAGGGCGCGGACAACGAGCTCGGCGTCATCAGCGACGTGACGTGGTCGGGCATGAGGGTGGACCTCTACTGTGGCACCGGCGGCATCGCCGCCCTCGCCCGAACACCGGCCCCGACCGTCGTCGGTGGAGGCACGGGGGAAACCCCTGCGCCTACCCTGGCGCCTACCGCGGCGGCCGTCGCGGAGAACGGGGCGGCGGACGGGGAGACGCCCGCGCCTACCCCGGCTGACGGCGACCGGGGGATAACGACCACGGACGGGGAGACCCCCTCGCCCAGCGCAGAGGCCGACGGAGTGCCGGCAACGGAGGGCCCAACAACCGAGGCTGGCGGCCAGGGGGACTCGGACGGCGCGTTCCACGCCGCCGCTGGGGCCGGGTGGGCGGCGATGGCGGCGGCAGCGACTGGCGTAGCGACGGTGCTGGCCGCCTTGTCGCTGTAACCAACCGGCGTCGCGCAGGCTTAAGAACATGCGTGCCTTTAGTTGCTCTTGAGGGGCGGCGTGGTGAGGACCCTAGGAGTTCTGCGGGGTCTTGCTGCCCTCGAAGAAGATCGTTGCCGCCTGCGCGCGTGCTTTACCAACCGGACGAAGTAGATAATAGATGAGAGTCTCGTGGAACGCCTGCGGCGTTGCTTGGCTCGTTGTGCAGCCAGTGTTGGGTCGGGTTGGGTTGTCGGTGTTGGTGGTCGGTGTGGGGGGAAAGGGATATGTGGTGGATGTGTCACGCGGGCAGCTAGCTCTGGTCGCCTTTAGCCCTTTTACCACAGCGCGCCCGTGGGGTGACATCAATCAAGACTGCTGCTGCTCTTCACGATTCGTTCCGTCTTTTGATCTTTATATTTGTTTCGTGTTTTGTGCCGCTCGTCTTTGTTCGGGGGTTCGATGACTGCGTCAAGCGACCGGGCGCGCCCATGCGTCACCGGAACCTCGGCTGTGTTGGTGCGCTGTGACGCTGCACGCGTGAACCGCAACCCTCTCTTTTTGTCTTTTTTTCCTTTATTTTTTTCTTGTTATTGGTAGATCGTTCCTCCCCGTTGTACTGGTGTCTCATCGTCTCGTAGTTTTTTCTGGAGTCTCGATGTTTTCGTCTGCGACCCCGGATCTTTGAGATGACCATTGGTGATTTTTTCTTGTCCCATCACTCGTAGGTCTAGAATCAGGCCGGGTAGTTCCGCTTGAGATTGTCGCGTGCCTTCGTCACTTGACTCCTTGACCGCACCCCCCGTGTTCGGTAGGGTACCATGATCGATCTTGTCTTGTGCTGGACTAAATCTGGTGCTTTCCATGTATACTGAGAACACAGAAGAAGCAGTTGGCGTCCGGCTCTTTGGATGGATTTGTAGAGGTCCGTATTTTTGGTCCTGTGGCTAGAATTTCGCGGTGGTCTCGTCGGGGCCTGCTTGCTCGTGAATTGAGGGATGATAAGATTTGATTATCGCTGTAGGTTTCTTTCTTTCGTGTTCGTACACATCGCGAGGCGGTTGCAGATTGCAGATGCCAGGGAAACCATGGCCCGCACAAATAGCTTGTAGCTTGTACCCAGTTTAGTGCCGATCACATTTTGGTTTTTTTGATCAGCTGAACCCGGGGACGGCGGGTGCCGCGGATCGGAGACAAGCGCGAAAAATACGCACACCGTTAAGAAGAAAAAATCCTTTGATTGAGTTGTGCGTGAGTGTCGAACGAATGCCAACAACAATATTTGGTTGTTTGTTGAATGTGTCCCGACAGACTGAAGGGAGTGGTTGCCTTGATATCGCAAGCAGCGGGGAACAATGTAGAATAGATCAGAATTGAAAACAAATGTTGAGATTGAAGTTTATTCGCTTAGTTAGAGACAGTATGTAGTGACCCCCCGCATTAACGCCTCTCTTACCATCCGTACACCAAATGCCACTTCCAAATGGCACGCATATGTTGTTGTCAACGTCAACGTTTCGTACTTGAGTTGAGGAGGACATCCTGATGCATCAGCAATTGAAGTGAAAGCAGCAGTGCTACAACGGTACATGACTTCCTATGTTCTGCCTCGTATACCCTGCGAGCGGGCCTGCACTTGTTTTTGCATGTTCTACAGTATACACCACTTCGCTATTGTAACAGCGAGCAACTGTAGACTAAGTGACGCAAGAAGATACCAAACCCCCTGGACCGATTTTCAAAGTGAGGGGAGCGGCGGTGCCAAAAGAGGCTATCTCGGAGCCGTCTCGTCGGGATCTTTCCGAAAGCGTCTCATTTGATTTTGGATCCTACAAGTATTCATACATTCTATTCATACGTAGTCGGGGAGTATACATTGGTCGAGGTTGAAATCGGGCCGGGGGGTGGTATCTCGTGTCACTCGCCGCAGTACAGCAGTAGTTCGAAATGACCGAGGCGTACGTACATACCATGAGCTTGATTTCGGATTGGGCATAGCAGGGCGTAGGGCCACACAGGGTCACCCCCTTTCATCATTTCTCGGACGAGAGTGCAACAACACGTTCAAGGGCAACATCACCATCCGTCATGATGATGACGACGACGATGACGTGTACTACTGGCTGAAGTCGACCCGTCGACCCTCTTTTTTGCCCTGCAGACCAAAAAAACATATATGAGACACACAAGGCAGCTACCAAACTGTCTCGCTGAGCCTGTTACCTAAGATAAAAAAAAACAAATGTGTCATTTAGAAAAAACAAATTAAGGAATAATAAAAACAAATGTTCCGATGATCAGATCTTCGATGATCTCCGATCGTAGAACCGAACTCTCGGTACCTACCACCTCTACGGCAATTGGGGTTATTTTTTTATTTTTTTCGGCCCTGCACGTGAATCAGAATCACAACCGACACACACACACACACACACCCAGACAGCTGGCCACTTGGCACGAGACGCTCTCTCCCCCGCACCCGCCTCCTCCCGACCCTCTCCAGCCGCGCCAGCTCAACAGATCCTCGAGATGAGCTCATTGTCATCGATCAAGGCGTCTGCGCTGCTGCTGTTGGCAGCGGCGCAGCTCGGGTGCGGTCAGGATTTGACGTCTTGTGAGCCATCGACCAATGGTGCCTTCGACTACCAGGTGCGAAGACTTCAGGGCTTTCACCTTGCGGCCGGCCCGACCCTCACACGACGGCGCGTGTGTGCGTAGTAGGTGCTGTTGTAGCCCCCCTGCCGCCGGAGTTCACTGTGGATCTCTGATGAGCAGTCGTCTTGGACGGCAAGTTATTCATTATTCCCCGTGCTACCGAGTCGGCCTTTTTGGCCTATGCATACAATTAAGATTAATTACATACATACATTGATCGTGTCGTCCCTCGGCGCTCTACAAATAACATGTGGAGGGACAAGTGTAGAGCCCCGGCTGCAGAGATTTTCCGACAAAGCCTCGGCGACATAGACAGCAGGCCCACTCCCTCTTTTGGTACCTAGCCTGTGCTTTGCCACATAGGTAGACAGAGAAGACAGCAAGCAGGTGCTAAGAGAGCGGGCAGGAAGCGGGAGGAAGCGGGAGGAAGCGGGCGGAGAAAACTGTTCGTGGTGGAATACTCCGCATCTTGCATGTTTTCGCTGATGGCGATCCAGACTGGTGGCACACAGCAGCAGCTGGCTCGGATGCCTGTTGTCCCCGTTGAACCATCTCTGCGGCTGGTCGCCATTTCTGTTGCCGCTTGTATTTAACGACAGGTCACGCCAACGGATGGATTCGACGTGCACTGGTCGGTGGATACCGTTGCTGAGACGATATCTGTTGAGGTGAGAGTTGAGATTCGCCCACGCCCCAAGAGGGTTCTTACGCGTAGTCAGCCCACTCGACGCCCGAAGCTCACTCAGACCTTTCTAACGCCCTAAACCATACCTACACTAGGGGGGTCTACAGCGGACTTTCGAACGCCCTATACCATAAATACACATACACTCGTGTAGGGTCCACAGCGGATTTCTTGCTGTGCGATGACGTCACCCCGCCGTCGGTATTTCTTGCTTCCTTTTAGCCAACCAACTGAATCCGAATCTTCCCGTTTACAAGCATACATCTGCGCGAGGTCTACAACCAGAAGATATGAAGTACCTGTAGCAATTCTCTCCGTACATACGTGATGCTGTACGATCCCATTCCCGCTCCCCGCAACCCCCAGATTCCCTTCGCTCAATACAGCAGTAGGGGGCCCTCATTAAACAACCCCGGTTGTGCCCGGCGCATCGACCGGCTCTATTCAACGTACAGAATGACTCGGTGCCCAGCAATTTCACGGGCTCTATCCAGGGCCACCGGCGCTAATCGACCGGCCTTTTTGACACCACCCTATTGCTGTGCTACACTTCTGTTCTTCTCTCGCTCTGGCCCTCTTTGTTCCCTTGTGACTGCGGTAGACTCAATTGGAGAAGTGACATCTCCTCATGTATCACTTGAAAATAGTGTGGAACGGGTCCATCCCTTCACCCGCAGAAAAAAATTTCATCAAAAATGGGGCTCGGCGAAATTCGAGGACCTTTAGCCCGTGTTGCCCCTTTTCAACTCCACCGCGCCCTTGAACAGAAAACACTCGTCGTTGTTGATCTCTTCTGCCCCCCCCCTCCCCCCTACCCGGGGGACCGGAAATGAAGTAGGT